TGACAGGTACCTATCCTGTGAGCTGTGACAATGTTTAAAATAAACTGTCAGTCGGAGCTACGTTGACGTTACTTTGAATCGCAGGGGTTAGCTAAACCGTTAACAAGTAGCTATAGCTACTCAGATATATTAAATAAACACTTTGTCATACAATCTAAATGTAATGTTTTTTAGCGTTACCTTGGGATATCAAAGAAAGCTCTCTGGGAAATGTTGACTTACTGTTCGACATGAAGCTAGAAGCTACCTTACAGTACACAGTTGATCCTGAGTCCTGTCAGTTAAAGTGTTTCATAGTTAGCTTAGCTAAGCATCAACCTAGCACTGAAATATATGAATGTTATGTGACAGTATTTCTGAGAAAAAGTCAGCTGAAATGGTGGCATAGTTGCCACTGCTTTACGTATAGACAGTATTTTTGAACGTATTTGAAGCAGTAAATGTGGCTGTTTGGCCACTGACGTTGCCATAACAACACCTGAATTTAAATGTGCAAACTCTTTTTGTGACAGATTTTTGCAAGAAATTATAATTATTCTGAATGATATTCCTATTGACAGCTAGTTTCTATGTGAACATTATGAGATGGACAGCCAGAGAGAATAAATGAAAAACAGTTATGAAATACTATATGACAAAACAAGAATACAGTTTAAGTGATTTGTAAAATATCCATAAAGAAAAATCTGCTTACAGTTCTGTTTCATATGGGTGTTGAGAGATGTATCTATAGATCTCTTAATTTTGCTCTAAAAGTGCACCAGATTGATGCTTTTAACTTCAATATTTAAAAAAAAATCTTCCCGGGGGAACATACCCCCGGACCCCCTTAGAGGAGGTGAGGACCCCCCTAGAGGAGGTTAGGTCCACGGTGTTTACATGCTTATTTATACAATATGTGTGCTTATGCTAACATCATAAGACAAAAGTTGGTTCCGTGTTGTGTGTAGTTAGAATGCGCTAGAGTCAGGGAGGCCCCCAAGCCAAAGCTCGCTTAGGGCCCCCAAAAGTCTAGGGCCGGCCCTGCATGTACAGTCCATGCTTGCTTCTAATTAACAATCCCAACGAATCCCCGGAAAACGTCACTTACCATTATCCGGCCAGCTGCTACACTTTGGTCCAGGCTGTGAGGGCGGTGTGCAGGTGTGTTCATTGGGTGGAAATAAGTCCGTTTCTGTAACAGGAAAACAATGAAAGACGGACTTTGTTGGCTTGTTGCCAGGAGTTGCCTAAGCTAACCGGCAGTAATATGGACTGCGCCTCCTTCCTTGGTGAGCAAATTAGCCTAACGTGCCTTTATTTTTTAAACGCCGTGAAAGATTTTGGCTTCTCAACATATGAAAAGCACAGGTGCAGCTGATTTCACGTGAGCTCAATTAAGGCTAGCAACAGAGCCTGCGTGCACAACACGTGGTGTAATTAACGTTATTAGCATCACCTGTGTTTTTGTAGGCAAAGGTCTGCAGGCCTGTATGCTGAGTGTATGTGTCAACACATGTGTGTGACAGTATGTAGGGGCCTGGGTACTTAAAAGTGCAGAATGCCACAAATAGCCTCAGTTTTGCAGGTGGGCCTATTTGGTCATTAATCAAAGTGTTAAAACACTTTTTACTGTTAACCTGTTGATACTGCTAGTAGATACAACGTCAGAAAATAGCTATCAAAACATCCTGTTGGGGACAGTTAATGTCAGTACAATGTCATGGCAATACATATAGCCTACTGTAAAGGTTGTCCGGGCAACCGACATATAGATATTGCCGTCCATATAGCCATGTCGCTTTAATGGGGAAAAAATAAGATATTTGTCATGATCCATAATGTTTCTTAACCCAAACTGAACATAACCATACACGTACAATGCATCAGAGACCCCAGATCAGATTTCCTCCCTTGAATAATAAGGGCTTTGTCATAAGAAAAACTAAAAACCATTGAGGCTCAAAGAAACTGAGACAGAATGTTACACAGACGCAAGGGAGAGACTGGGGGCCAACATGTGTAGGTTGGTGACACAAGAAGCCGATAAAAAGGGATTAGAGGTTTGGCCTGTGCTCTTGTTATCTGGTTCATGAATTCCTCCTCCCACACTTCCCCTTCTGCTCTCATCTCCTTGCCCTCACTCAACACTCAACACTCTGTCTGCCTGGAGTTCTGTGTGAGTTCTGTGTAACGTTCCCAATTGACACAGCAAATAAGCAACTCTTTAACAAAATACATTTTGAACCTCATGAGTTATTGAGCCACACAAATAGTTTAAGTGTTATTTGAAGAGGTTTTGAGTTGTCACATTTTGTTAGAACTAAAACGACATTTGAAAAGCTTGCATAACCCACAGACTACCTAAAGAAAATATTTTTATTTTTGTCAGGCTGAGGTGATTATTATACCATTAATCTCCCCAATCATATAACATAGTACATTTGTCTTTTGATTAAAATCTTGAAGAATATTTTTGTTTTACTTTAGAAGGTTACTGCATTTTGAAAGAGAGCATTTATAAATTCTGAAGCATCTGTTGTTCATAGTATGTTGCAGAATGTTCATCATTTGTTCACCCTTTGCCTGCTTGGAACTGCTTCTGCAAATAACAATAAATATTTTCTTTCCCTTTTTTCAGATTAGAATTGCTGCAATGGACGAGCCGTGTGTGTCCCACAGCAGTCCCCAGCGCAGTGGAGGTCAGGCCGGCACAGAGGTCCAGCGGCAGGGACGACCCAGTGTCATCAGGTGTGGGTGGCTCAGGAAGCAGGGAGGATTTGTCAAGACTTGGCACAGTCGCTGGTTTGTTCTGCGAGGGGACCAACTCCACTATTACAAAGACGAGGAGGAGACCAAGGCCATGGTAAGGCTGTGAACAAACTGAAAGACTACACACAACTGATTTTGAAATAATATAATCAAAATGGACTGCTGTCTCTCTTAGTAACAAAAACATATTAGATGCCAAGTATTTAATCATGCTGGAACTTGTGTTAACACAATAGGTATTCAAATTAATCCATTGTGCATTATCAAATACCAGAACTAAGTAAATGGAATTACACAAAACAGTCATTGAGTTTGGTCTACTCTACAACTATGTACAGTTGTAAGCTGTATTTAATAAAAATAAGATGAACTAGGATATATTAAAACCTGTTTAGCATGTAAATGATGTATATGTAAATATGTCACCAATGTTCTCAGGTAGCTTGATATGGTAAACAATCTTTTATAAGTTTTTTTTTTACCTTATCTTCACAGAAATTATTTGGTAGTGTTAAAAAAATACCTCCCAAAAAACTCTCGTTTCTCGTTGTACACCTGTAAAGTTTAGATGTTGAAATTGTACTTGTCAACACTGCATGAGTCAGGTTAATTGATTTGGAAAACGTTAAGCACGCTAGCTCATTGCCACACAGAGACACATGAGGGAATGAGTCACATCTGGACACACAGCTCTTTGTCCATTTATAAATGTGTTTTTAATTGGAATTAGTTTAACGTTTATTATAAGTCAGGAAGTCCCATAATTAGGAAACAATTATTACAACCATTGATACCGAAGGACATTTCAAGACATCAGATTGAAAAATGTAACATCTGAAACAAAATACGTTGAAAGATAGAATCTGAAATGTCTTCGCGCTACAAGATAATCTGGGTGAGCCATCAATCAAAACTCAGCCTGAGACTGTAGATCCCATTACAGATAGTCGGGGCCCCCGCATGTGCTTTATAGCAAGTAAAATAATCCTCCACTATGTCTTCAGCCAATTTCACCCCATCCTATTACAGAGAGTCTGTACACCATGGATCAATGAGATCAAAACGCAGAGAGAAACATGTCTTTTTAAGGTTAGAATAAAGGGGATTGTTTTAGGACAAATATAGCTAAAAACGAAATAATGTGTGTTTCATATTTATTTTGTCAAGCGAGATACATAATAGACATTTAAGGTCCTGAAAAACGTATGTAAAACTTGTAATATGATCTAAAAACATTGTATTGCAGTAGTAACAGTCAAAATTAGTTGGGCTTCAGTACCGGATATAATACCGGATAAATAATGTATATATCATAATATATGGCTCCTGCTGGTTTTAAGGTGACTCTACGTGATGCATCTTGTATAAAGGATTTTGCCCATCACATGAAATGAATCTAGAAACACATGCATTTAGTCAGAATAATACAAATTACTATATTTCTGAAAAAATGGACACATGGTGGTCTACGGAGCAGATGCTATCACACATAACCACGCCCGACTGTAATTCACATACCCTCGTTTGTTTTGAATGTTTGACTTTATGTCAAAGTAAACTGTTGTGAGCCAATACACAGAGCTATCCTCAAAGAAAAAGAGACAAGGAGTGATGCAGACAATAAGGCCGTCTCTAACGTTACTGTAGCTGGGCAGCCGCTCACACAGAGCATGTGCCGACTGAACAAAGAGGCAGACAGACTTTTGATTCTCATTAGAAAAGACAAACCATAGGCATGTTATTGTCTTTTATTATGATTGTAATATTTATTACATGTACAGCACTTTGGCCCGACCAAAAATTGCTTTTAAATGTGCTTTATAAATAAACTTTGATTTGATGTGAAAAATAATCATTTCACAAGGATTATTTTATTCACTGGTGATATTGAACTCACAACTAAGAGATTCAAATCAGTTTCATTGATTTGTGTGGCTGCTATTATAGAGCTGTTCAGTGATCAGTTTGCTGGAATTGAGTGAGAAGAGACAATTGAATAAAGATGACTAGTGATGTTAAAGGAGTAGTTCAACATCTTGGGAAACAATGAAGGCTTATTCACTTTTGCACACAGTGATGAATATAACTTTCATATTTCTCCATTCAAAATAAAGCTCCAGCCAGGAGATGATTATTTTATTCTTAGCTAAGGGCTGACAGCTGATAGACATGAGTCAGTGAGCAGATTTGCAGATCTCTGTTTTTATTAATCGGTGATTGTTCCGGATTTCTCCATTCCTGATTTACATTTAACTGCTCAGCTATTTCATGTTGTGTGTCAACCTTTTGCAATTCAAATGGCCAGCTGTTTCACACCAGAGGCTTTGTTCTTTGTCTGCAAAAAACCCCCACAAAAGACCACAAAAACATTTATTTCCACCCAAACAATTTCCACAGGAGAATTTAGCACAATTGAAATCTTCAAACTGCTCCTCTACCCACACAACGTTGTCTGGCTGATTTCCCAGTGAGCTCAGCTCAGCCGAAGCCGAGCCACACCAGCAGCAGCAGGTCTGAAGGTTAAGGCTCCAGCCCTGAAGGTGGGCTGCTGGCCAGATACAGAGAGGAGATACTCTTTACTGCTATTTCTGGGATGCTCTGGTTCTTAAGCTGTCTACTGTCTACAGTTTTGCCTTAGTTATTTTGGCTGGGAAAATCCTGTGGGAAAGATGATCAGCTCTTCATTATAATTCTAATTCACTAACAGGAAATAACCTTTGAATTATTCCTGCCTTCTCTATTTATCCATTCAGCTACTCCATGTATTTTCTTGCCTATACTTCTGAAACAAAGCCAACATACATTTCAGACACCTAGAACTGCTACTTTTGGCACAGAATGGGAGATTTCAATAAAACTAGGTCTGGCAGAAAGCAGAGTGTTCAATGCCCTTAAATCTTTGTGACCTCCAAAGCAGAACAGCATGGCACAAAACAACCTCCTAACAAAACACAGCAACAGAATACAAGATAACTAGTCTGGAGTTTCCAACGTCCTGAAAAACGGACATATGTAGGGCAAAGTGGAGGGAGAGATGAAGTTGTTCCTTTTGCGTCTAATACTGACATTCAAGATCAGAGGACCAAGATACATCCCCTAATTTAACTTAAATCTCCCTGTCCTAAACTACATAAAGAAGCGGTGTGAAGACATATTTAGATCAGCTACTGTATTAATTAAATCTCTCACGTGCTGTGAAGTCTCCATTTGTTATCTGTCACATTAGACTAATTGCTGCTTCCTCAGTGGGAGAAGGAACATCTGCCCCTCACTGTTGCCTAGGGAAACAGACGCCAACAAAACATAGACTGATTAGACACGAACAGTCACATATTTAAACACAAAGGCCACATTTTCCTGAAGCAACCTCTTCTGGCAACACTTTAAATTGGTTCCTTTTTACCCTGTCCACAATTTTGTTTTTTGGGCCATAGCTGACATACATTGGTCCGATTCTAAATTGATGCAGGTGTCTTTACACAATAAAGCAGAAACGTTTGTCATTTGGAGCTGTTTCCAAAGATATTTTGAAAAAAACTGCACACCTGACTGTGTGACCGGTGATCAATATTTAATGTTATTAAACATTGTAGTGGAAGTCGGACAGAAGAAAGTTGTAATCAAGTTATTATTTCAATGATAAGTGAGTTATACTTCGACCAACAAGCAAATGTCTAAGTCCAATCTCTGTTCAGCTATTTTTTTGTTGTTTCCCAACTCCTGAGGGAAATATCTGGCTTTTTAGCTGATACATGCTCCACTAGGTATTTGCAAGATGTGTTTGTCTGTTGGCTGGAGCTGAGCAGGTAGCCTACAGTTGTTTTTTTATTGCTTTTGTGTTGAAAACTGTTTCCTGCAGCTCCTGTAAACAATCTTTAAGAGTGGTTAAAAGAAAACTGTTATGTTGCTGAAAGAAGCTTTCAACTTGTATAGAGCTGAGGATACTTAGCTAGAAGTTGTAAGCTCTAGGTGTCAATACTAGAAACATATTTTAAATAATGCATTGTTGTTTAATGATTCGATAAACAATTATTGAATATATTTGCTTTAATTTTAAGCGATTGGGAAATGCTTACTTTAATTGTTTTGTAATGGCCTCTCCAGACATAAGGATCCAATTGAATCTGATTTTAGGTGGTAGTATTTGTCTTCTTTCGTGCATTTATACTGCTTGGTAAATATAATGTAATGAACTGGCACAAAAGGAGAATTACAAGTGCCTTGAAGAATTCTGATATTTCTAGATAACGAATAGCGCATATTATTATTGTCAAAACAGGGACCATGTTGTGTCCCGTACAGTCGGGCCAAACCTCTCTGAGCAACTGGTGGAATCTAAAGAATGGGAGTCAGATAGAGGTGAAGGGTCACTGAAAAGCATGCGCAGGGTACGGCACGTGTGGGCTCAGCGTCAACATGCCATCTGCCTGCCCTTACTCGCCCATGGAGATGTATGCACGCACAAGCATGCATGTACTCGCTCACATTCTCTCTCACACACACACACACACACACACACACATGCACTCAGATTTCATCTGGCCGAGCCATTAACAAAGACAGAATTCATTCAGCGGGTGAAATGGTATGATTATTGTAATTTAAACCACTTAGCATCGTAACTACGTATATTCCAGTGAAGTATACGAGGTACCATCATGAATGAATGAGACAGTTGTGAATGAATACATTGGACCAATTTAATTGTATTATAATGTATTTAGAAATGCAGGGCTTATTAAAGTTTGATTATGATATTACGTTAGCCGAGTAATATGTATAGCACAAAGGCGACGTGTGTGAATCCAAACAACATGATCTAAAGAAAAGTAGTTTAATGAGACATTTTATTAAATCAATAATGCAACAGTGCAATAACGCACTGATAACACTTGGTTCCCGAGCTTTAGCCGTAAACTGTTTGACCTTGGCATTTAACGGGAGTAAATAAAATGCCATTGCAGCTCTGTAATCATTCATTCTGCAAGACTGTGTTGCGAAACATTAACACTGTACCATTTGTCTGAGCCTTGCTTCTGCAGTTACTCTGTAGCCACTTTGGAAATTGCCAAAGGATGGTACAACTTGTGACTT